GGCTATACCGGATACCCCGGGCACTTACCGTAGTCCCGCCATGTTAACACTAATTTCCAAACTGGTTCATCCAATGGCGCTGAGAGGTGGATCCCTCGGGATGAAGCTGAATGGAATGGGTAAAAAAAATTACTTCCTTTTGGTCGGATTCCATGAGGCTATCCAAGAGTTACAAGCAATTCATAGTATTATGATTAACTGTGCGTTCAGATTCCAATAGCTATCATTACAAAGAACAAACAAATCGGAGTTTATCTCATAATCTCTCTATCAAGCACTAACACTACCTTGGTTAGAGTTCATAGCTTTTTCTCTTTCAGACAGAAGAAATTATCTGCTTAAAAAGACCACTTTTCACTTCTATTATGCCCAACAACTTATCGTTGGGCAGCAGTTATAAAAATTTATTTGTCAGGAGCAATTGCTGCCCTCTCTGAACGGGTTTATCTCAGCAATTACGGCAGTAACCAGCTCGAACCCGGTCCTCAGGTGGTCTAGGCCCCAACTCTTACACCACACATATGATAAAGGATGAAGTTTTAAAATTGGTGATCATTATGAGCTATTTTAGTACCTCCCCAAGAGCGGCCAAGGCCATCTTTCAGGGTGAGAGTATGTCGATCGGGAACATCTGTGTGATCCAAACCCGTCTCGGCTATGTGTGGTACTTCAGTCGCGGTTATAGTCTCAGGTTCGTCCCGGACTCGGTACCAGCTCTCAGCCGATTCAACATTGCAATCACCTTGGCCGTTTTGTCTGCACGAGAGGAAAATCTTTCCATTTAGATAAACGCCGTGAAGATTTCCCTCTTTGTCGAGACCAAGTACGGTGAGAAGTTGGAAGTTCAGCGCTGTTGGAGAAGGAAAAATGGATAAAACCAAACCTGTCAATGGGGGAGCTGCTGCTAAACTTTTGAAAACGAAAATTACAAGCATTAACTGTTGTTGGTAATTCTTCTCTGGGCAACATTTTGGATAGTGTGACGTAAGGATACAGTTTCGCTACTTTTATGAAAGTAAACTCTTTTATTTGCAGGATTCCCAGAGGGATTGTTAAATATCAAGGAACAGACAGATGTTCCGAAATAAGACGGATTAAACCAGTTTTAAAGAACGCAACAAACACGTTGTTTACAACACGGCGGCTCTCCCAGTCTGGCTGCCATTCAATGCGCATGGGCGTAAGACAACCGGTGGCCAAATGCATCGCAGTCACACAATCAAACAAAGCGGCTCGCGTAAGAATTTCATTCGGCTGACAGGAAGAATACCTTTTTTTCATTTCAGATCACTCGTCTAGTTATACACTGCATATGCGCGTTGGCAATGAAACTAAGAGTCACCATTATGTTTTTTATACCTGTCCATGTTTTCCCATCGTTCGTTACATAGCAGTGAGACCTCTGCCTGGAGAAGAGAAGATCATTTTTTTGTCTTTAATTCAAATGTTCATGGCATAACTTTCTCACTGGAAGTTAGTGTCATAGAAACAAGCTTTAGGTAGATATTCTTGATATATTTGCCAAGTTTTAAGAGAGCTATGGTTATGAATGCACCTCGGCTATCACGTGCAAATACTATGATTTGTACATTGACTACTACGCATGAATATGGCAGAGCTTCGTTCCGGTTCTATCTAAACCTCTTTCATCGATGGTGGGACCGATTATTTATTGTTTTCATACTTTAAATCTACAAGTGCTCTATCGCAGATGCTGCAATCTGATTGGCCATATCGCTCGCCAGCTATTCCGTGATAAACAATTTGTAAAGTGGGTGGACAATGCAAATTGTGAGGGGGCTGTAAACACAATTAAATAAAAACATGAGCCTGTCTTGGTGCTATAATAGATCTATAATAAAGCAATAAGATTATTCACCCAAGATTTTTATGCGTGATAGTTGATTCCTGCTCCGCCCGCATCAATTATCTCGCAATAGACATCAAGTGCTCAATTCAATCATGGAAAATTTTCATGTAAATTAGCCTTTGTGGCCTTGAAAATATATGTAAAAGCATAGGAATCTTCTTTCAAAAGCAAGGCCAAGAATGATAATTTTCATGCAAAGAAAAATATTGATTATCATGCCCGTTATTCCATGTTTCCTACCTTGAAATTTCAGTGTTGCAAACAAACAGACGGTTTATACGTGTGTCTACAAGGAAAGCTCTGGAAAATACCACGGGCAGATCTGTTAGGAGAAAATACGCTACAATCAAGAAATTGGCTTTTTGTCGTAGAGGAAAGCGTTTACATGTTTAGCATACTTAGAAAAAAATTACGGGAGGAATCTCGATATATAATGAAATCAAGTGATTAAGTGAGGCATTTTGTTCAGAAACTGTTTGACAAAGATAATGCACACACGCGTTTGCACTATGAAGACTCATCTGATTGGCTACCCGAGCTGGCAAGATAAGCCCGTGCTGTCCACTTGAAATTGCCCGCTTTGATCC